AGAAAAGGTTGTATTGAAATTCTAATTAGTAGGAAAAAAATTTGTTATCTTAGTAAAGCTCTACATTTAAATCCTTTATATCGTGATTAAAAAAAAAAGATGTTAAAATAAAAAATATATAATTTTAATAAACAATAACACTTACAACTTCCAATCAGAATTTCAATATAATGTCAATCTCTTCTTATTGTATAAAAAAATTTCAAATATTACAAAAGCTATTTTTCAATTTTAATTATTTCGGAAACTTAATGTCCTGAAATTTGGTTTGCAATTATCGTTTTCAGCATCCAAAAATCTATAAGAAACACCTCACCTAATACAAAATAATTTTTAGCTGTTATTAAACTATTGTTATCTCAGTGACAATCTTTTTAGCAATAATTCCCGCAATAATTGCTTCTCACAATCAATAATTATCGCTTTGTTACTTTCGAGCGAACACTTTCGCTGAAATTGCTGGAGAAACTTTCCCAAACGTGTCATTGCACCGGAAATCTTTTCTTCTCTGGAACCATTTTCGGCGCTAGGAATTATCAGATCGATCTAATCGGATAATCGCACGCTTATCTTTATAGGAACGACCGCATATCTAACCCTTGGCTCTCAAACGAATTCTCGGGGCGTTTGTTAACCGCTCTATATTAAGTATAGAGAGAAGTTTTTGCGCGGTACGGCTGATAGAGATCTTAATCCACGAGCTAACCCCAGAACCCGGCAACCTCGTATAGGATTGATTTCGTACTGTATGTGTACGTGCTGTGTAAGCCGAAGACGATCGCACAAATGGGTCAGGTCATGCGCCACTGAAAAGGACCATCAATTAGACAACCCTCTTTCGCGCAGACTGCAGCCCGTCACTGCCCGCGTTTTGTCTACTGAGCGCTGATATATACGAGCTGTCCTTATTTTTGAGCCGATCCATATTAATGGCGCATACACGGGCCTAACAAAGACAGGCATTTGTTGTCAACGCAGCAAGCTCGTATTTTCCAAAAATGTCCGTCCACCTTTGGTCAAAAATATTCGGAAAGTGAGCAACGTGTTAAATAATGCGCATATTAATTAATTGTTTGCATCGGAATTAATAGCAATAATCAAAATCAACTTAAATGATATATCGGCTTTAAACAACATTTTACAGAGATTTCCCTCTCACGCAATTGTTCACGCACCGACCGCTCTGTTTTATCCATTATTTGTTTATCTGTGCAAAATTGATGAGCAAGATCCCGTCCGTGGGAAACCGTACTAAGACTCATTGTCGCGCGTAACAACGGCACTTTCAGTAAGTAGGATGAGCGGAAATTCGAAACGTTGCGTCGTAACCAATCCGGTAATCCGGGTCGTTTAGAAAATGGAAACGTTATCACGTTTTCTCTACGCTTTTCGTTAATATCGCATGTGCGGCACAACCGTGGGACTACGGTAAAATAATGTTCGCCGTCTCCCGTGCGCGGGCGCGCGCGCGCTTCGATCTATAAATGTACACGGGTAGCCGCGAACAAGGGAGAAATATCACGGAATGGACTCGCATTTATTCTCCGACCCTCGGACTGGTACCAAGCGGTGCTTTCACGCGTCGTATCGTGCGCACTTAATCTTCCGACGTTCTGATCGAGCTGATATATCGCGATTGAGTGCGTATACCTTGTTATCCTTTCCCACACATCTGACATTCCCTATATGAAATGAGATTTTACAGAAACTCAGTTCTGTCGTGTCCGTTATTTGTTTAGTCGCGATTTGACGTAATAATCGGAAATACGGGTACGAGTGTTCAACGTTTGCGGAAATTGTCAATTTAGAGATCCGAGAACCCCAGGTGCCACGGATGTCGCTTCTGCTTGCAGTATCCGCACGTGGAAGTTCGAGATGACCGATCATATATCTAACGATAATTGCAAACAAGTGAAGCCAGGCTCAATTTCAGACATGTCAGACGGAATCCTTCATTGATTCATTGTATAGTCCAATTGTTGTAATCTGTGCTTTTCAGATTTTAACTGAAAGACTCAATGCAATTAATACAAATTTACGTTATAATTAATCTTAAATAAATTTCAGTAATTTAGCTGCATTATTACAACAGAATTCGTTCGACTATTCTTCCGGTTATAGACTAAGGCTGAACAGAGTTTTGCATACGCAAAACGCATAATGTATAAGAAAATGAGCCAATTTAAAGTCCTTCATTTCCTTTCTTTCTATAAAATAAAAGACTCTAATTAGGGTTGCTTTCTTATGCTTTATACATTATGCGTTATGGATATGCAAGATGTCGATGCATTGGCCTTTAGTTGAAATATTGTTTATATAATGATAAACATTTTGCATTTGTGAGAGTATCGTAATATTTATAAGAGTTTATTTAATGTAAAACATTTACGTTATAAAATATTTGATCACAGATATACGTGACGATGTGAAAAAGATTGGCTACATGAGAATATTTATAAGAGAAACGAAAACACTTTGATAAATGTATTTTTCAATTGGCAAATATCGCGCGAGTCTATTTAATAGGCCTTTTAGCGCAGAAGATAAATCAAAGTCTGATTTAACGCTGACATGGTCTAACGAGACGTTTAAATGCCAATCACGAGAATATTCGATTTAATGCCGTGAAGGATATAATTGAGCGTAATGTGTGTGCTAAACGTTTGCGAACAGTTAACGGACGATAACGCTAATAATTTAGGACGGAAAGTATCATGGCATTGACTTCCTACGCGCTTCCAATCTTCACCGAATTATTTATTAACGGACGGCTATAGCCTGAGGCACGACCCAGCGATCACGTTCGTCATCGATAACTATTTTTGGACGCATCCCGAACACAGTGGAAATTTAAACCAATCAAGCTTTAAGAGCGTTCGATACAAAATTCCTGCACGGGGGAGTTTTTATCGGGCTTGCATAGCGTAGATGCAACGTCGCTAAAGCCGTCGTATATATTTATGGAGGAGGATAACATATAAAGTATTATTCGTTAATTGTGATGGTTATGTCCTCTTGAATTCTGTAAATGTATGGAACAAAAATCGGGGAACATAGAGAATAAGTGTAACATGCGGCGTGCGTTTAAGAGCTTTTTATCGTCGCGATCGATATGACATGCATGCTGTAGATCTCTGACAAACAAGCTTTCAATATAGCAAGGCTATGTCATCTATATAGCCACGTTTGTCATTCATGAAACTGTTGTTGTCAAATCAACATGCATCTTCTGAAATGTGGGCACCGTCCTTATTTCACATACATTTCAGACGTCGTTGTGACAGCATAAACGAACGATATGTTCTACCTAACAATAAGTTTCGATGACAATTATGCGGTTAGAATGAATCTGCAAAGAAGCTCCCCAAGTAATGCGCTTCCTCGTGATTCTTTCTGTATGGATAGCTAATTTAATTATTGTCTTTCATAAAATAAATAAATTAATTTCTTTGGATTGGAGAGAAAAGGAGAGAGAGAGAGAGAGAGAGAGAGAGAGAGAGAGAGAGAGAGAATGCTTTCCGATTTTTGCATTAATATAAATATTGTGCAAAAATTAAATAAAAATTGAACAGTGATACACTCTCATTCGACACAAAGACATTTCTTTTCTATAACAATGATATAGAATACAAACTGCACATTTCAATAATAGTAAATATAAAACATTACTACTTCATCTAGACATAATTTACTAATTGTAAGACGTTGTGGAGATTATTATTTGTTTATCGTATTAAAAATAGCAATTTATTAGCCGATTCAAATTAGCCGCGGAGTCTTCTGCAATATGAATTTTACACCGTTTCAGTTACGAGAGTGAAATTTTATTCGCAACAGAATTTCCGAAGAGATTAAAGCCTTAAGCACGTACTTATACCGCTACGTATAAAAGCCGCGGGGTTTTTTTATTAAACGCTCACATAGTTTTACATTTTAAAAACACTTTATCTGTCGAGCTGTCGGAAATTCTGTGACTGTCTCAGAGATACGTCGTCGGAACGAGCTTCCGAAAGCCCGTCGGTTCAGGTTGCCTGCGGCGTTACTATCGCAAAAGCGTCGCGACTATCAATTGTATAAACATGCAAACAAATAAAACGTTATCAAATAGCATCACAATTATACAATTATTTTCCAAGATATTTCTATTTTGTATACTAATAGATTGATTGCGTTTAAAATTTCATGCTGTAGCGTAATTACATCACAGACAATAGCTGTTATCTACGCTAATTAATGATTGCAGTAATAATAAAAAATCTCGTTAAGTTACAAAAAATTGTGTTACTAAAAAAAATTTTGTCAGGCTGCGTTGCGCCATCACTCCGCTGCGTGAGATCCTTAATTGGCTTTGATCGAGCATTTACTAATATTCGTTTTGAAATTTCGTGGGAATTCTATTTGCCGTTGAAAGTTCCTACGCGTTCGCGTTACAACCACTTCAATTTGGTTTGATTTTTTAAATAATGGATCCATTTATTTTAACGTCGTTCATTTATTTTAGCAAGCAAGGATCTGATATCTCATTGCTTTGAATAAGTATTTTATTATTAAAAAAGGAACAAAAGAAATGTGTGTGTGTGTGTGTGTATTTCTTCCGATATAACGAACTCACATTATTCGAAATACCGAAGCTCATGAAAAATGCATGAATTTACATATATCTTGCAAGTGTTATCAAAAGCGGCGTCCATCATAACAGTTTAATTGAGCAGGTGAGAGACTTTTGTAGAATTACAGAGCGAAATTGCGACATCCATTTTATCATCGGGCTTCGACTGAACGTGATGTCGACGCGCGATGGAACGTGAGTACTTGATATCACGGCGCGCGGAACGGAGCGATAAGCTCACGCGGGTGTGCGCGCATGAGAGATGTAAAGAATGAGCGCGAGCGATATAATAAAATGACATAGAACAAGCACTAAAGAAACAAGTAAGTCATCGTGCTAACAGAAAAGCACAAGCTGCAAGCGAGAGTGATAGAGTGTGGAGTTGGTATACCGGCGCGGGACTGACCGTCGTGGAGCGGATCGATCGTGTGGATCATAAGCTGCAGCAGGCCGTGTCGGAACTTCGCGTGGCTCTCCCGTGGGTGAGAGGACGAGCCTCCATGGGCCTGTTCGCAGCCTTGTCCTGTGCCACCGCTGCCGACGCCGACGCCGCTGCTGCTGCCAACTCTGCTGCTGCATCCAGCCTCCCCGGGCGCCGGGATGCTTCCGCACGCACCCGATGCACCGCCCACGCTCATTTCGCTATTGTTGATCGCGTTCGGATGCTGCTGGAACACACAACGCCATTTCGGCGTTCAGTGGAAGGTCTCACGATTGTCAATGCGCGTTTGTGTGTCGCTCGAGGCGTGTTACGAGATAACTGCTACTCTATAGAGCTAGGTTCGAGTGGGGGGGGGGGGGGGGGGAGATATTCATGCAGGAGTTACCTTCGACTTTTTCCATGGTGAGGAAAATCCGTGAATGCTATGTAACATTGTTTTATACAGGTTCCAGTGCTTTTGATGAAGAAAATGTGAAAAACATAGAAATTCGTGGAAAAATTCTGAATAATTTTTGCATTATTCTTTGCATCGATTGTTTCGCACTCCTGATAGTTTTCAATTGTATAATTCTTTTACTACAATTCATTCTCGTATCGATTAATATACACGGTGGCACATAAAATGTCATATATTCAATTGTCCCGTTAAAACTGTATAATATTTGTATATATTTCTTTGGTTTCTTTTGACTGTATACGGAAAAACGGTTGCCACGACCAAAAATCGCCCGTCAATACGTTTTTTTTTTGTATAGTATAATTGTAATAACCGTATAAGATATGCCATATCTTAACAGTTATGACTATATATCCATCTTACAATTATCATAATTAAATGTATTGATGGGCGAAAATTATCTTTATTTCCGGTTGTGGCAACTGTAACACTTTGTCCGTGTATAAACAGGTTCTCGTGTGAAAATTTTGTAAATTATGACATAATATGTATCATCGAAATTGGATCCTAAATGAAGCCATATACACCAGTTTATGAAATATAGAAAACGTGAAGTGTCACACCATTTGTTTTATATATCATATATAACACATTTATTTTTAACAAAATTAGTATAGAATTGAAGTAAAATTAATCCTAGAAAAATGTCTCTAATGAATAATGTTTAACATAATCATCGTTTAGTTTATAACGTCCTTGAATTTGACTTATACTTTTCAACATAAATCTTTAAACAATACACAGTGCAACTGCATAATATGCACGGAAACGTCTTCAAGTCTCTCCACACTCTTTGTTTTCATGAAAACCAACAGAATACAACTTCCACTTTATGATCAACGTTAACCATTGTCCGCCATTTTACAAACTAGTGCGCTTCTCTCTGCCTAATTCAAACTCGTGATATCTCACCTGATAGAATTTCTACAAAGTGCGAAATTTGTTGAAACAGTTACAAAATCGATACTCCGAAAGGATCATTTTAGTAGGACAATTAAATGGGACATTTCATGCAATACCTTGTAGTTGCAATTAACTCGCGATGTCTACGATCAAAAGTAGTTATATCTGTTTCTAATGTCAAAGTATTGTATGTAAAGGAGAATGTTAAGTTTTGGCTGTTTTTTAAAATGAAAGAAATCGTTATACATGTATCAAGAACAATGAATCTAAAATTTGTTAAATAAGATATTATGAAAATGAAGCAACGAAAACTGTACTATTAGTACTTGAACTCAACTTCGTAAGCGTATTCGCTATTTGAAGCTAGAATTTGAAACCAAACGATTATTTTATTCAAATTATATGTGTTTAAATAAGAATACAGTCCTTATTGCTTAATTCCCGATGTCTTAACGTCTTACTTAATAACTTTTCATTAATAAATGTGATAATATTATATTTATTATCTTTAATCACGATTTCTCTCTCTCATTTTCCTGAAGTTTCCTCAAGATAAATGGTTCACCACTCGATTCCGTTTAATTAGTCCACTTATTTAACTTGTATATCTTGAAACTTCTTACGTTAACCGAAAAATGGCCAAAATTTAATATCTTTCTTACGCGAATGGAACACAGAAGATTGCTTGGGATTAAAACTCATGCCTAGTTAAACCATAAACGGTATTGTGGTCAAAATGTAATTAACATTTTCGGGCCGCACGGTACAACAAATGCTACCGCAATATTTAAGCATCAAGCGGTTGTGTACTTAGGCCAAGTGGTAACACATTACATTGCCTCAGTTTACTTATTCATGGATAAAGCGGCTTGGTTATTTGGTAAAACGCGTTGTAATTAGACTTTCCATTCATATCTAAACATAGAATCGAAGCGTTGAGCGTTATTTCTCCACTTCATAAACTGCTGAAAGATTAAAGAGCTAATTTCAGGTTACTCCCGATATTTAAATTGTACGTTTTATCGTAGGCGTCCGTTATTAGCAACATTATTTGTGGGTCACCTCTTTCGCAGAAGGAAAAATAGAACGTTAAATGTCTTTTCTCGTCCCGATAAACTCGCATGAGCACATCATTTCCACGGACATTATTTTACACGAACTGCATATCAGAACCGTATCAATAATGTATGTATAGTGAAATAAAATAATGACGAGGTTGGACCGTGTGTGTATCATCGTTCGTCAGGGGTTCATCGAAATGTCATACTATTTTCCAATTATTACTTTTCTCCCCCGAGTATACGGCGCTAACTTTTCTGATGGAATTTCCAGCGAAACAACGATGACGACATAAATCCACGGAAGGATGTTCGATGTGCAATAGTGAATCGTGTCCCGTAATAACTTCCACGGCGCAGCGAAATAATGATATTACCCGGGACGACATTGTGCCAGTCGCGGTCGTTGCATGTCGCAACTTGTAAACGTTTTACGGAATAAGCTTGCTGCCACTGACAGCGTGATATGTTAACTATTGTAATATACGAAACGAGTCGTGTGACGCGCAGACGTATAAGATTTGGCCAAGAGGTATTTTGGAGAATGTGTCCTTCTAATCAAATTTAAATCGACTTTGCCTTACTGAAACGCCTTAAGTCTTTGATTTTCAAATGAAATAAAATTTTTCTGAGCAAGAGCATCTCACGTTTATTTTCGTACATGTAATATCAAATCGGAGAAATGCACGTGAGTTGATTATATATTTTGAAAAAAGAGTTTTACTCTGTTGTAATCTCATTAAATAATGAACCTAATATAGCTTGTGATATCCCATACGACAAAGATGTTACGTGAAAATCGCGTTAACCGATAACGACATTAAGGATGTCCTGTGCCCGGAATATATTGTGTGATTTTGACACCGCTTCGCCAAATCTCATAATGCGTAATCGAATCGGACGGCCTTGCTGTAATCTGAAACGTGATAACCCTGTTTGCCCCGACGTTAAATCTAAAACCATCGAGTACCGCCTGTATAACGCGATAAAAATTGAAAAACGAAAAGACACGAACGCTGCGTTTCAAAAGAAAAATGAAACATTTTTCGCGGATAAGGTATTTGCAACCGCTTTTGCTTATTGTGTACGCTTTGTATTTTAAGTTACAATTGATATTGTTATCTGCCAGTGAGTCTCTGTCGTAGGACGTAGGATGCTTTTCTATAGTGCGCAATGCGTGTGGGCTTTGCCATCAATGGCGGATACCTGCCGATGATACCAATATAGATAGACGCGCGAGTCTAAAGCGGTAAAGCTGAGACCTCTCATAGAGTCGTCGAGCTGCAACAGTGAAGATACGGGTTTCTGCCGTTGTCACTCTGTTGTCGGGGTAATGAACTTTCTAATTACTAGAGGCGCTTGCGGTGCTCGATTTGAATCTCGAGACGACGCGGCGCGCCGTGTAGCCGCAGAAATTATGGCGAAATTGTCGCGCGCCGTGGCTCTCCGACAACTTTTGGAGGATTAGCACTCAAATATTTAAAGCGGATTACAATTATGCGGCGTATATCTATTATTAAATCTAAGATTATTAAATCCTGTGTAACTCTGAGCCACCTTTAGAAATTGACGACGCTTTGCGAGTTCTAATGATAACGATTTACCGAGAGAAATTATTATAGAGTAATTATGCAAAGTAACAGCTTGCACGCTGCGAATAAGATACCTACGGATTTCTTTGTTTATGAAATATGTATTCCATGCAAATATTAATTAATAGCACGCTCTGTATAATTACTATGATCATTATATGCGTTGATACGTTCTATTTGTTATTATACTTTCAGTCCATTTCATGTTGATACAAACCATAATTCGTCCAATAATTATCGCTGTTTTAAACGTCATTCACACGCTCGAATAAATATGCAATCTTGCAATAAATTATGTTCTAATAAAATGTTTTCCACGCGTAATAATATTAATTTACCTGGCATTCACACGTTATTATTAACAATAAATATCGATTGTATTTATATATGTATATAAATATCATATATATAAATAGCACTTAAATTCATAATTTGGTGAATGCCTTTTTTACGAGCCGACACAGATTATTAGTGTGCAAACGATTTACTACTTCATTAAAAATTCGAGAGTAAACGTTTCGACCTCTGTTTTGGGTCCTTTTCAGTACAATAAAATTTAATCAATACGTATTAAATAATTATGTGAACGATTCTCATAAAGCGCGTGTCTTGTAATATCGATTATTGTGTATATCGATTAAATAGCACTTATTTGATTTATATATACTCGTATATCTAAATACAAATTCTTTATAGGTTCTTAAGATGCTAATAGCATCATTGTTAAATCGATGATCAATTTAATTATAATATTTCAGGTTCTCTCTCAATTTACGATTGCGTTTCAAGTTCGATAATAAATGTCACGCAGTTTATATTAAAATTTATATAACACATATAAAAATATTTATTATTAGGAATTAAAATCTGGCCCTTTCCTCACTTATTTGACTTATCCATATAGTGGTCTAGATTATCTTATTATTATAAATAGCATATGTGTATATTTGTATTATATAATTATTATAGAGTTGATTAGTAAAGTACATTGAATATTATAGTTTGTAACTCATCAACACATAACATTACTAGGTTGATTATCACTCGCCTAATTGCCAACTTTACTCATTAGCCGTTTGATTTTTATTCCTGACTTGAGATAAGATTATCTATAACGCTAGCGCGCAACGTGAATTATCATCCTCACGGGAAGAGAAATTAATAAGCGAAAGCCTTCGTGCGGTTGTAGCATGCTGTTATCTGACGAATTATTTAA